CCACACCAGCGCACAGCCACACCTGGAGCAGCTGCCAAGTGAGGGTCCAGAGCCTGGTGCATCTGGCCTCTTGGCTGGTGACACTAACTGCCTTCAGAACTGTTGAGTCAACTGCTTTAGTCAGAAGACTCCATGCTTTTTCATCTCCTTTGTTACCAAGATGGGCAAGATCTCAGCAGCCAGAAATATTTTTTTAAAATTAGATACAGTAGTCCCCTGCTCATGGATAGTTTTGCTTTCCATGGCTTCTGTTACCCATGGTCAACCATGGTCCGAAAATATTTCATGGAAAAATTCAGAAATAAGTTTTAAATTGCTTGACATTCTGAATAGCATGATGAAACCTTGCCCTCTCCTACCTAAGACATGAATCATTCCTTTGTCCAGCATAACCATGCTGTATATACAGTACAGTAAGATATTTTGAGAGATACCACATTTGTATAACTTTTATTACAGTTCTACTTCACTTTTAGTTAATATTAATCTCTTACTGTGTCTAATGTGTAAATTAAATTTTATCATAGGTATGTACATATAGGAAAAAACATAACATGTATATGGTTCAATACTATCCTTGGTTTCAGGCATCCACTAGGGGTCTTAGGATATATCCCCCATGAATAAAGGGGGGCTATTACAATCTCATACATCTGCTTAAAATTCTCCAGTGGATTCCTGCTCAAAATAAAATTTAAACTTCTCACCATGGCCTGCAGGGCTCTGTTCACCTTTTTAAATTCCCCTCCCATTGTCCTCCTTGATCATTATGTCCCAGCCACACTGACATCCTGGCTGTTCTTCAGACAAATCAAGCTTCTTCACACCTCAGGACCTTCACACTTGCTGGTCCCTCTGCCGAAAATGCTCCTCCCCAGACTTTCACATAGCTAGCTCCTCATCACTCAAGCCTCATCTTAAATGTCACCTCCTCAGAGTTGGCCTTACCTGACAATCCAACTAAACCAGCACCATAGCCAACCCAGCACAACATCCACTATGGGGTGGGTGGGTGGGTGGGTGGGTGTGTAGGTGTGTGTGTGTGGGGGTGTGTGTGTGGGGGTGTGTGTGTGTGTGTGTTTACAACTTTCTTGAGGTATATTTCATACATATTATAAAACTCACCCATTTCAAGTGCGTAATTCAATGATTTTTAGTAAGTATGCCAAGTTGTGCAACCATTACTATAGGTTAGTTTTAAAACATGTCCATCCTTGCAATAAAATCCCTCATGACCATTTACTGTTAATCCCCATACCGATCCCCTGATCTAGGCAACCACTAATCTACTTTTTGTCTCTACAGATTTTCCTTTTCTGAACATTTCCTGTAAATGGAATTATGTAATATTCTACCACTTTGTTTTATTTTAAATATATTTTTTATTCTGGTAAAATATACATAACAGAAGTTACCATTTTAACCATTATTAGGCATACAATTCAGTGGCATTAGAACATTCATACTGCTGTGCAACCATCACAACCATACAACTCCAAAACTTTTTTATCTTCCCCAACTGAAACTCTGTACCCATCAAATACTAACTTCCATTTCCCTACCCCTCCAGCATTTTATGATGCTCCATATAAGTGAAATCCTACAATATTTATTGTTTTATGACTGGCTTATTTCACTTAGCAAATGTCTTCATCCATGTTGTAGCAAGTGTCAGAATTTCCTTATTCTTTAAGGCTGAATAATTTTCTTTGTATATCTATATCACATTTTGTTTATCCATTCATCTGCGGGCAGATACTTGTATTACTTCCACCTTTTACCTATTGTGAATAATGCTGCTATGAACATGGACACATAAATATATGTTCAGGTTCCCGCTTTCCTTTCTTGTGTGTATATATCCAGAAGTAGAATTGCTAAAGAATATGGCAATTCCACATTTAATGTCTTGAGACATTGCCATAGTTCTCGGTACTATTTCATATTCCCCTAGCGATGCACAAGGGTTCTAATTTCTCCACATCTTTGCTAACACTGTTATTTTTTTTTTTATAGTAGCCATCCTAATGGGTCTAAAGTAATATCTATTCTATTTTACCAATACTTGATTTTCTTGTTTACTTGTTTGTTTAAATATCAACTACCTGTCTCCCCAAACTAGCTGCATGAAGGCAAAGAGCTTGGCCACCTTGTTTGCTGATATAACCCCTACAATACCCCACACTCAACACACATTTGTTAAACGAATAAAAGATCTCAGTGCTACCAGCTTTAGCTCTACCACAGTTCTCTTTTCTTCCCTAGGATTTACAGGAGCTGGGGAGCTCTCTGATGTTACTCTGACAAACCACAGGACCATGAAGATTTTTTTTTACAAACAAATTAGTACTATTCCTTGTGAATACAAGGAACTACAGATGTTGTCACACTGAGACTGTAAGAGCACCTAGGGCCTTTATGAACATTCTGCTGAGGCTGTAATTAAAACCAAGAGAAAGTGCTTGGCTCCTCTGGAAGTTTTCGGTAGCTACTCATATGCAAACATAAAAGAGGCAGCCCCTGAAATAAAAAAAAACTCAACTGGCTAAGAGTTAAAACTATAAAGTTTTTAACTAGAAAAGAAAATTGTGTAGTCCTTTCTTCTGTATTAACTATGCTTTCTAAAAAAATTGTTTTTCAAAAAAGGCTGGCATCTGTTTCTCAATTTCACAAACATTGGTTCAGGCAGCCTGAGCAAACCATGAATAAATGTGTTACAAAGACTGCTTGTTGTCTGCTTGTTGTCCCTTCTTTCCACAGTGATAGAAGACCTGAATTTCTCATCTTCATTGCTGCTAGAGGTGGACATTTAACTAAGAACTAGCCAATGAAATATGAGTAGCAGGCTGCATGTAACTCTGAGCAATGTCTTTAAAAGGAGGATATATTCTTCCCTTCCTTTTAGCCAGCTGGAACATGAATGGCTGGAACTTGAGCAGTAATCTTGGATAATGAGGTGGCATGCTAAGGGTGGCAGAGCAGGAAGATAGAAAGATACTGGGTGCCTAAACGCACCATGCCTGGATTGCCTACCTCCAGATTCCCTTATGTGAGAGACAACCGAATTTCTGTTTGAGACATTCTATTATTGGAGCCAACAGCCCTAACTCACACAAAATTGCTCCAGTAAAATTACAGAAGAACCTAGGCACAGAAATAAGGTCTTCCTGATATAGATGACAATGTAGACTGTTCCCTAAAAGTCTTGAGTTGTTCTGAGCTGATGCCAACCCCAGCTTGGCCAATGTGGTGAGGAAGTAGCAGTATTTTGCCTATGCGGCAGCAGGAGGACAAATAAATACCAGCAATAATGATAATGAAAACTTAAATAGTGATGGCTAACAATTACTAAACACTTATATCCCAGGCACTGAGACAAATAACTTTACATGTCTTATCTTATTTTATCTTCAAAACAGTCCTGAGGCTTAAAGAAAATAAATCTTAGTCACACAGCTTATGAGTGACAGAATGAGAATTTGAATCTAAGGACATCTGACTGCTGAGCTCACATGCTTTGCCTTTACACTGCATCCAAACGGTACATCCATTATACTTCCCTCACACATAAGAATAAGGCAGCCAGGCCTCTCCACTTCTTTACCAAGGAAAACCTTCACTGGACACCCCTGCCCCAATCAAAGTTTGATGCTGCACCAACAATGTCCCATAATACCCCAAATAACAGGCCGACTGTGAATTTCTCAATTAGGTACATGATGCCTCTCAGTCATTAATGTTCTTGGATCATTTTTACCTTGTAGCCATTTAATTACAATTGGAATGCAACTATAATATGAAAACCAGGTTACTTTTATGTTTGTTTAAAAGTTTTATTTCACATTTATGCTAGTACCAATATTTCAAAGCAATTTTCTGATTTACTCTCTCCTGTCGCCACGTGTTACAATAAAATAAATCTGTACCAGTTCATCAGAGTTGATATTTTATAGAAGGGCATCGATGCATGTAAGAGCCAAGGTTTATGTTAAGGACAGGGACCCCTCATATCTGCCTGTCAAATGACCTTCTTGGTGGGAATGCTTCACTGCAAAATAGGTTTCACTTTACATAAAGCTGGACTTACTAAATGTTTGATCAAGTCATTTTATACAATTGTTCCAGAACTCAGCATCCCCATCTATAGAATGGGGATAACAATAGTTACTTTGTCAGAGTGATTTTGAGAATTCAGTGAGATCATACTTGTTAATTACTTGGCATGGAGCCTGGTACCCAGTGAGTGCTCAAGAGGTAGCTATTTTTAAAAATCATAATCTGTGGGTGGCACAATCTGACTGAACAAAGCTCTCGGTGAACCAAAATGTTCAATTGCCAACTTCCTAACAAAAAGTAAACAGTCACTACTAAGCTGACTGGAAAGATGACTTGATCGAGCTGACTCTAAATCTAGACTTTTTTTTTAGGTTGGCTGTCTCTAAATCTGACTTCTTATCTTGATTCCGAATAATCTATGCCATTACTAACCATCATGGGCATTTTATTAGCCCTTGTTTGTTTAGCCCTCCTACTCTCACCCCAGTTATTATTATTCTCATTCTTAATCTGTTTTTCTGTAATGGGTGTAAAGTAGTAAGAGGTAAGCACTACCTTTGATCTTCTATTCCCCACTAGGAGACATTTATGTAAGGTGCAGGCAACAAATAACTTCTAAAAATCACTACAACAGGCCTTTGACTGAAAATAGCCTTAATTTTTAATTCGTGAAACTCAATTGAGTCAGTCTGGGTTTTCAGAAACACATCTGCTTTAAGAATTTATTCCTTCAAGCATTATCTTGTACCCTTTCCAGTCACAAATGCAGGACACAACTAGTTCTATTAATAAAAATCTTCCAAATAGTTGAGGTAAATCCAACATTTCACTATTTCAGGCATTTGCCTCTAACCCAAATCTTGACAACAAAGGGGAAAAGCCCCAGACTGCCACTGTTTCCAATACCCACTTCGATGAGAATTCCCTTTTAAAAAAATGCTTACTGTGATTTTCCAAGTACATTTGCTATTTGGAGGGTACACTCCAGGAAAACCTTCGCTGCCAATAAATCCAGACTCTCCAGTAAAAACGCCACCACATGTGAAAACAAGTCTGGGAAATAAAAGGGGAAACTGAATTTGAAACATGTCAACTTCAGAAAGGTGTAGTCTATTAATATGGACGAAGTTAATATCGATTAGTAAATGTCTGCACCATAAGAGAAATTTGAAAGCTTGCTAGCTCTTAGAATATTTCAATTATAGCCTGATAAAACATTCAGTCAGTTGTCACCTGTCTCCATCATAATAACACAAGATCGATCGATTATTCTACAATCCATCCATCCATCCATCCATCCATCCATCAGCAAGCAAATTCTCCACGCAGTGATAAACTCTTATAGGAAAATGTTAAATGGAAAATGTAACCGGCGGGAATGAGAGAGAACAGGAGAGCTGGGCTGTGAGAAAGAAGTGCATGGTCTAAAGGTAGACAAGCAGTTAGGTAATAAAAAGTTTTAATTTCCCAGATTTGCTGAGAAACCTAATTCTCCTTGACTCTTTTCTGAAAATCGCTGGCCATTGGCAGAGCCTTCTCCTGAAAAGGCTGATGGTGATGGAAGTGAAAGGGGAGCTGCCAACGTTGCCCAGGGGCCGGTCTCGCAGCCCAGGTGCTGGGGTCGTCTGGCAGCTCCCTGGTTGGCGAAGAGTTAACTTCCCGGGAGCAGTTCTCTGAGCGCCGCGCGACTCGAGTTTTTCCCTAGGCTTAAGTCTCTTTCCGGGAGAAAACAACAGAAGTAAACCAAAGTCCACATATTTGGGTCCTAACGCTTCCCTTCGCCCGCACAACGTGCGAGGAGGGAAGACGCAGGTCAGATCAAGTACCCGCCACGTGGTAGCCGGGCTAGCAGCAGCGCGGCCAACGCGGAGGTGGAGCTGGGCACAGCAGCGAGCACAGCGGACCGCCGAGGTCCTGGGGGCCGAGGAGTAGCCTGCGCCTGCGCCCGAGTGAGCGCCGGGTCGCGCGCTGGGTCCTCTGGCGGCCGGAAGCGGACCGCTTAAAGCCGCGGGCGAGGCTGCAGGGATTGAGGAGGGAAAGGAAGGAGGAAGGGAGCCCGGCGGGGGTCGCGTTACCTCTCCGGGGACTGCTGCCGCGAGAGCTGGGCGGCGGCGGCCAGCAGCAGGCAGAGAGCAAGCCAGGCGCCCGCGCCCCTCATGGCTGGTGTAGACGCTCGGGGCTCGCCCCTACCCCGGCGCGCACGCCGGTTCGCACTCACCCAGGCTCACGCCCCGGCACACACTGGCTCGCACCCGCACACCCCGGCGCGCTCGCTCGCTCTCACGCGCGCGCGCGCACACACACGCACACACGCACACACGCGCGAGGCAGCCCAGGTAGCCGGGTGTGCGCGGCAGGCGGGGCGCGGGTGCTTTTAAAGGCGGTTACGGTGCAGCCTGACTTGACGCTTAATTTCCCCTGAGGAGTATCTCTGGCAGCCACGGGCTACTGCTGAATATCCCGTTTGTTCTCCGGCGGCGGGAGGGGTTGGCTCGGAGGCCAGAGCCGCCTCCTCTCCTCGGGCGGGCGTCTGTCTCCGCCCTGGCACTCCGGGACTTACAGCCCCTATTTCCCGCCTGCAGAGCTTGCGGGGAGAAGGATGAAAGGGGAACCCCCAATTGAGAGGTACCCAAGCAGGACTTGACTCCATGATCCACAGACGATTCACGGGGTGGGGATGGGGGTCATGGTTTGCTTTGGGGAATGTTTTTCCCTAGTTGCTTTTAAATAAAAAGTATTAGCTTTTGCTGGTTGCTTGAAAACCTAGACTTTCTTCTTTATTTCTGTTTCCTTCCAACACCCTCATCTAAAGCAAGAAACGGGAACACAGAAGACGGATTCTATCATTTTAACTCCTGCTCTTAATCTCTTTAGTATCTATCTATCTATCTATCTATCTATCTATCTATCTATCTATCTATCTATCTATCTATCAAGTTTCTTTTATGTTTTACTGATGTATGAGAATAAGGAGGTAGTTTCTGTGTGGGGATTTAGAAATGCATTTTCAGCCAAGCGATTTGTGAGTGAATTGTCACTAACCATGTCAAATAATGAAGACAGAACTGGAATCATTACATCTCACCATCTCATGTTATGTTCTGAAAATGATGTTTCTTTGCTGGTGTGTTCTTAAAAGATCTTTTCCAACAATTTCTGTAGTATTGAATTAAGATTTACAGAGAATTTGTTTTTCTAAGAAAAACAATTCTAGCTTTGTGGAATCAAGGCTTTCCTTAATTTAGTTACAGAAAAATAATTTGAAATCTTTATTATATTAAGTGATTCCCAATAACTAAGATTAATAAAAGAAAGATGAGAACAGAATGGATTCATCGAGATTTTCAACAATCACAAAACTGCAGGAGAGATACAGCTGAATTTAGATGCCTCATTTGGGTTCTTCCACTTTCTAAGCAAAAAAATTAAGCATTAAATTAGTACTTTTCAAGACTCCACTTCTAATAATGAGCTTACAATGTTAAGAATATAAACACTTCTGGCAAGGAAATAAGTAAAAACTAGCTACAGGGAATAACCTGACTTTTAATAGCAGGGGAATCGATGAGCCAATAGTAGGAACCAGAATTTCCCTGTGGAGTTACGTTATTTTACTATTTTTGAAAAAGAGAAGGAAAAAAACAGCAAGAATTACAACTGTTTAAAAATTTTCTAAAGGCACCACACCCTTGATGACATTACAAAATATAAAAAGGATTACAGAATTTGGCAAACTATTTTATATCCTGAAACATACACCCTCAACCCAATAAAAATTGCTTTAAAACAACAAACAACATAAATGATTGTTTATTTTGCACATATTTCAAAAATATGCTATCCAAAAGCATAAGTGTTTTAGATGATATGTATCAAAAAGTCATACTTTGAATTATAAAGTGAAAATATTGCCCAATTCACTTCTGGTAATGATTTGAAGTCATCATAGCCAGAAAATATTTCATTCTTAGGACCAAGTTTTCAAAATTAAAAATTAAAAAATAAGGTATTAAACATGCCTAAATGGATAGAAAACTATTTGAACATAAATATGCAACAGTATTTTATTTCCTTAATATATAGACTGATGATTGTGTTCATAACCTCACTAAAGAGTAAGGATTCTAATAATGATGGTTCTGTTGTTGAGACACATAGAAAGACATTGATGTTACCATGCTATATTAAAAGTTTACTAAAACCCATATTATTTGGTCTTAGAAACACATATTTGACTTGAAACTACAGTTCTGACCAAAATTATAAACCTTAAATGTCCCAAGACGCTTAATGTGTTAAAATTGAGACAGACCCAAGTGGACTCTGAGGGTGTGTGCAATGTCCTCTTCTGTGAGACTAATTTCTGGACTTTACCAAAGCAGAATTGATATAATGAGCTGGAAGCCACAGAACTTCAGGCAGTAGGAAAGGGGAGAGAGAGAAGACAGAATCCCTGTGGGTGGATTCTCAAAAGAAAAGCAGTTTCCTTAGATGAGATGATCCTTATTATCCAAAGTATATATTACCCACTCTCTCCAATTAACCAAGTTGCACAGAGAATCAAAGCCATGGGAATATGAAAATATTCTCCAATGAACTGACCACTTATACAATTATAGTTCACTCAAACATTCCTTGCTGCATAGTATGGCATCTAGCTTGGCCCAATATTTCAACATCTTTGCTGGTTAGTCTCTAGTCAATCATCAACCTTGTAAACATCTGAAAATACAATATAAATACAATCCATAGTGCACTGCTAATCTTATAAAAGATCCAGAATTTCATAAAATGGGTACAAGCGATGTTGAAAGAATTGGGGAATGATAGACTCTTTTGACAAATAAAGACCTGGATGAGTTACTACAATGAACTGAAGGAAAGAAACTAAATAAGGTTGCTGGCCAAAAATCCCTTCAAAAAAGGATGATTTTTAATGCCAAAATATTAAATAGAAACCTGTGAGAAAAAATGAAGAGGCTTTATAATACTTTTTAAAAAGTAATCTACATTATAATGCTGTGAAAGTTAAAAGGAAAAATGTTTATATTGTGCTGGAATGCATTTTTTGTAAAGAAAATTTTGCTGAAAAATCCATATGTAGTTTATTCTTGTTCATTATGAGAATTGGCACTTAGCTGCAAATATAAGTACTATTTTGTTAAATACAAAATAAATTTAATTTTTAATATTCAGTTTCATTTTTGAAGATAAAAATCCTAAAGAATATCTGCCATGAAAATTTGGAGCCTGTTTTAAATAAATTGTAACTGTCCTTTTTTAATACAGTTAATCTCAGATATGGACAATATCCAATTACCTTGAAAGGTGGCTGAGCAATAATCCAAGGCAGTACATCAGATTGAGGTGGGGAAGGTGGGAGAGGAGATAATAGGGGGCTGGACTTTATCCTTGTATCCCTCCCATTGTTCTTTTAGAGGCATGAACCATATCTGGAACTCAGATGTGGTCTGTGCTTCCTTGAATATGATAGTGCTCCAAATGCACCATGTGGGTCTCTAGATTTATAAGTGCTACAAATGTATAAAAGGAATGAAAAGTATCTGGAAAGCAATTACTGTAGTATGAAAATTCTTTTATGAAGCCCAGTCTGTGACAATACAATGTTCATGACATTTCCATACCATCTGTATTTTGTAGAACTATCAAACTGGAATTTCCTCATGTTATTTTATCTAGGAAAATGTAACAGTGTAGAGTTATAATATCAATACCTTAGTGACATAACTACCTTTTCTGAATTCAGCTTTTTAGATACTATCAACATTGAAGATATCCCCAAAATCTTTGAATTCTTGTGCACAGATACATCAGTAGATACTCTTGTGAATGAGAATATTTAGAATTAACAGTTAGTTCAGTATTTTTTGATGGTTGTAAACATACGTTAGGGAGTAGACTTTCTCCCCTTTCTCCCAGGCATAAAATATTGGAAGGGAATTGTATTGGTTAGGCTTCTTAGCTACAAGGAACTGAGTCCACTCTGGCTAGCTAGTTCAAGCAATAAAAGAGACACATGTAAAAATAGAAGGTAGTTTACATTACCATTAAGAGAATTGGAGAAACTGTTTCAAGGCTAATTTTCACAGAATAATGGCCAAAGCTTTGCTTCAGAAATTACCTAGTGAGAAATCAGTTGCCATTGCTGCCACCAAGGCTAAGCACTAAATGCAAGTATTCCAACATACTGCAATTGTATCTGCTATGAGCACATCAGATGCATTTCTGCCCTGAGAAGCTCAACCTGGCAACACTCCTACCCCAAAGGCCAGGCAGCTATGCTGCCACCCACAGAAGGAAAGCTCATCACAGACCCTCTTTCCTCATGTCAGTCTCTTGAATCAAAGTCTCACGCAGGTGTATATGGTTGGTAATGTAATCACATGGCTGTGTCTCCACTGTGAGGGAGGCTAGGAATTCAACTCTTTGTGGAGGATAAAGCCATATACTGTAGAAATTTCTCCAAATATTAAAAGACTACTCAAAACAGAATAGGCAGGCACAAATGTGATTAATGTCCATGACAGGGATTTACAAAGTTCACTTTGTCTCCTTACACCCCTTTGCTGAGGAAAACAGGCTCAAGGGAATCTTTATGTATAAGGGTGCTGAGGCAATGTAATGTATATTGAATGAAACCAGCTGCACTCACCTGCCCATGCTGAACAAAGGAGTCAGCTGCTTTTTGCTGGATTAGAATTTTTTAAATTGTCCAATGGAGGTACTCATATAATGAATCATCAATATCATCATCCATAGCTTTTACTGAGCACTTATTACACACCAGTAACTGTGATAGGTGCTTTACAATATTTCAATTGTCTCAGAAAAAAAAAATGAGGTAATAACAATTATCATCATTTTACAGGTGAAGAGTCTGAGATTTGTAGAGGTTAGCCATAATCTAAAACTGACAATAAGTAAATGAAATGCTGGAATTTGAACCCAGGCTGCCTGGAAAGCCCAAGCTCCTAATCAATATCACATACCAATCCATGAGACCATCTCTTGGGACCCACGAATGCTCAGTGCGCATGGAGAATACAATTGTAATGGATGGACATATATTATTTATTTATCCGGAATCACTAATTCCATTCATCGATCCTCCAGCATTCAAAAGGGTCATGTAACTAAGGACTGTTCATAGAGCGTTCCAAGGACTTTTCTACTAGAGATACTGAGGAAAAGTACTCCAATATAGTTTCAGTCAAGATAGCGGAGTACATAAATACTGTGCTCGCCCCC